TTATACATTTTTAGCAAACAAAGAAATTCATGTTCATTGGTTATGTTAATTAAGTAGTATTCTATATTCTATTGGTTATTAATTTCTCACTTCTTGTGCTAATTAATCCACATTTTCAGTATTTTTATTATCTTTTTCCCAGATAGGGAGTGTTTCAGCAGACTGATTCTGAATTCTCTTTGTTAGTGGACTTGATGATCCCACAGGGGTGGGATTTGGGGGTCTCTCCACCGTCAGACCACGCGGTTGCAGATGGTGCCCAGCTCCTCGATCTCACACTGCACCTCGTCCCCGGGCTGCAAAGGGGCACATGGTGGCATCTGTCCCTCGTGGGGTCCACTGTGTCCTCACCTGCCCCCCAGCCCCACCCGAGCCCCTCTTTTCCCTCACCTTAAGGAAAACAGGGGGTTTCCGAAAGAACCCCACTCCGGCAGGAGTCCCCGTCAGCAGGATGTCCCCAGGGACCAGTGTCACGAACCTGGGGGCACACGGGGGGTCAGCCGTGATCCCCTGGGCTCTGGGGGTCCCCGGTTCCCCGTTCCTACCGGGACACCCAGGCGATGAGGGCGGGCACCCCGAAGATGAGGTGCTGGGTGCTGCTGTCCTGCATCGGGCGCCCGTTGACGCTGCAGCGGATCCACAGGTTGTGTGGGTCTGTGGGAGGGGACACAGGGGGACACAGGGACAGTGCCACCGTGAGCCCCACCTGGGGGAAAACATGGGGGGTTTGGGCAAAGGGGGGGGTGACACCACCAGTGTCAGCTGGGAAAGAGTCCCTGTCCCACCCCATTCCTGTTCTCATCCCATTTGTGTCTCATCCCCATCCTGTTCCCATCCCATCACTGTCCTGTCCTTGTCATGTCTCCATCCCTATCCCCATCTGTGTTCCCACTGTCCCCACCCATCCCCATGTCTGTCCTGTCTTCATCCTGTTCCGCTTCTGGTCCTGTCCCCATTCCATCCCTGTCCAGATCGTATCTGTGTCCTGCCTCCATCCTTGTCCCCATCCCATTGCTGTCCTGTTCTTGTCCAGTCCCCATCACTGTCCC